CACCTAGTGGATGTAATACTCGGTCGAATATCAAATATTAAATGTTAAAATGTATAGTAAAATTTATATTTATATTTTCCTTTCCACCTTATCGTTTGTTCGGCCATAAATTCAGCAATCGTCTTCAGGGGTTAACTAAATTACAAAACAATCAATATATCAACCATGTAATATTTACTAGAGGTAAAACAATACTACGAACACAGTTAACTACAATAATATTCTTAAGAAGCTAGAGATTTGATTTGGTTTGGTAGGAATTTCACTTTGAATCCTCTGACTCTGAAATCAGAAAGAATTCGGGGCCAAAGGAAACCGGGGGTGTTCAGAAAATTAGAAGTTACAGAATAACGTTATCGTAAATTTATAAACAAATGAAATTAAAAAAAATATTCACAATGTTTTTATGGGTAAACTACATATCCCCTTGTTCTTAATTTATGATCTCAGTTAAGCCTTGAACCAAACGGATCTCTAGATGACTTTCTTTTGGTAACTACTATTTTGTCCAACAAGTTGAATGCCTTCACACATGAGTTGATTACCAGATGTCGTGGTATTACACAACTGTAGCATTTTGATGTTCTGCGGTACTAATGTGTAGTTTGTTTTGTCTCTCAAGAGTACTCAGGACATGTTTTTTTATTAATCAAGTATTCTTCTTATGTTTTCTTCTCATCCTGGGATATATGGTAAATATTGAACATCCTTTTGTTTTTTATTACTATCTGGATGTTAAGATTGCTTCAAATTTCTCATTTACAGATGGTTTGGAAAGCCCCCGTCTTTATGGCCTATTGATGATTTTAGTTGGATATCCACTAGATTTTAAAATTCCTGTTATGATTTTAACTGTATTGTCAGACATCTGTCGCGAGTTGTTTTTCTGACTCCTTCTGTATGGGTTTTCACAAAACATACTTTAGCTGCTCTTGATGGCTTGAAACACAATGTAGGTAACTTTAAGTATGGATAATATTTTGGTTAAAGTTATTCCCTTGTTTATTTTGGTAATCTATACACCCCATAAGGATTATTCGTTAGTTGCTTTCCATTTCTATTGTGAAATGAAGTTGATATACGTGTTATTTTGATTATTATAAAACTGTTTTAAAGTTCAAAGCAATGGTTCTACAGAACATATGTGTCATTTACATATTTCTGTTGTTTTTGGAGAATATAGTAAAGCTTATTTTTCACATTCTTCATGAAAATTTAACATACGACATGAGATAGAGAATAATTGTGTCGTATTGCGCCTCCAAAATTATTGTTTCTATTGGAACTAGAAATAAAACCGAGCAAGATGAAAATATTCTATGAAATATAATATAAGGTTAATTTGGATAAGCAGTGTTTGATAATTATTTAGTTTTTAAGCCAATACTTATAGAATCAATAACTTATGAAAAGAGAAACAATATCTAAACTAGCTACAAGGCATTTTCTATTACTTTATAGTTAAGAAAGAACTAATCTGAAATATTAGCATTTTTCACATAAGATGGTTCTACCAATCAGAAATTGAAGAACGTTAACCAACTGTTCATAAGTTGGAGAACGTGAGCCAGATAGATATTCAGTAGTTGAAGAACGTAAGTCAGATGTTCAGTGGTTGAAAAACGTCAACTAGATGTCAGTAGTTGAAGAACGTGAACTAGATGTTCAGTAGTTGAAGAACGCGAACCAAATGTTCAGTAGTTGAAGAACGCGAACCAAATGTTCAGTACTTGAAGAATATGAACCAGATGTTTAGAAGTTGAAGAACGTGAACTAGATGTTCAGTAGTTGAAAAACGTGAACCAGGTATTCAGAAGTTGAAGAATATAAGCCAGATGTTCAGAAGTTTAAGAATATGAACCAGATGTTTAGAAGTTGAAGAACGTGAACTAGATGTCCAGTAGTTGAAGAATGTGAACCAGATGTTTAGAAGTTGAAGAAGTGAACTAGATGTTCAGTAAGTTGAAAAACGTGAACCAGGTGTTCAGAAGTTGAAGAATATAAGCCAGATGTTCAGAAGTTGAAGAATATGAGCTAGATGTCCAGTAGTTGAAGAACGTGAACCAGATGTTTAGAAGTTGAAGAAGTGAACTAGATGTTCAGAAGTTGAAGAATATGAGCTAGATGTCCAGTAGTTGAAGAACGTGAACCAGATGTTTAGAAGTTGAAGAAGTGAACTAGATGTTCAGAAGTTGAAGAATATGAGCCAGGTGTTTAGAAGTTGAAGAATATGAGCCAGATGTTCAGAAGTTGAAGATATGAGCCAGATGTCCAGTAGTTGAAGAACGTGTACCAGATGTTTAGAAGTTGAAGAAGTAAACTAGATGTTCAAACAAGTGTAGATTGGTGAACCGATAAAACAATAAGTAGGGCAGAGTGGAGCGTAAGTCTTGTGTATTATTGGTTGGCCGCACATTTCAGATGTAGTGTGTTATTGTGCTTTGAAAGTTTTGAAGTGTTCTTATATTTTAATTTTTTCACTGTTTTGGTAGTATTTCAGTACATTATTCACATTGTTTTGAAAGTTTCTCAATACATTATTTTATGCCTACCATAAATAACTTCTAGCTCTACACTTGGCCCTTAAATTATGGACACTATACTTGCTTCGTTGACATTTTATAATCTTTAATTATAGTTTCACAATTATGAAAATCTGATCTGTAGAAAATCTGAACCCTGCTTAATGAAGGATTGTTAAATAGCTACAGACTTTCAAATATAATTGAAAACAAATTAATGGACCAAAATATGAAAAATATTGCTGGTGACGCATTATCGAGGGCTCGAAAAATAAATTCTCTTCCACTTAATTTGGATGGCTGAGTTACAGGACCCCAATTTATAGAAATAGTTTCAACACAATCATGGTTACATCACAAATGTTCTGAATGATAGACTATTACGAACAAATATAAAGAACAAATCAGGACTAATAATTCCTTGTAACCAACAACCACGAAACAATACTATCCATTTGGCATAAGGTCTCCATCAGAAGTAATAGTGTCATGAATAAGCTGATCCAAACAATTTCTGATATATATTTTAGTCTTTCATCAGAGGTAACGAAATTAATCAAGAGTTACTCCTTACGTAGAACCTCTCATGAAACACCTTTTGAACTTGTGCAACCTACAGATATCCCCAAAACACTATGCTATGAACTTTGTTACCACACTATCTAAGACGGCTCGAGATAGTGATTCCATAATCTCGTGCGTAGATAAATTTGAAATGGTATCATTATTATCCCAACTAAAAACCCTGTAGCAACAAAAAAAAGTACCTGAAATCTTCTTGCGTCCCAGTTACCAATATTCTGTATATAAACCTGCGTCGATTTTTATACAGATCCATTTTGATGTTTGTGACACCCGTGACGAAATGCTGAGTTTGATTTATTTTGAACGTAAGATGAGTTGTATTGTTGTGTTATGACACTGTTACGTTACTATTCATGTTAGTGAAATGAAACGTACCCTTGTCTTACACCTACCTCTATTGCAATTGAATGTGCTTCATAGTTTAAGTCTCTGACGGCCAAACTCATTGACTCTTCAGCGTCGTACATTAAACACACATACATTAACCAGCATAGATCAAATTCCGATTTGATGAATTAAGCAAATAGAAAAATGAGATTGAGACAACAGTTTTAAAGTTATTCAAGATATAGTAGAGGTTTAGAAAAGTAGCAATACTTGCAAACTGTGTTAGTATAGGACGATCAAATCTGTCAAAACGATACTTCACTTACTAGAGAACTGACTTCAGAAGACAGCTAAAATGTGGGATAATACAAAGGTTGAGTACATTATATTTAAACAAGGATAATACAAAGGTTGAGTACATTATATTTAAACAAGGATAATACAAAGGTTGAGTACATTATGTTTAAACAAGGATAATACAAAGGTTGAGTACATTATATTTAAACAAGGATAATACAAAGGTTGAGTACATTATATTTAAACAAGGATACTACAAAGGTTGAGTACATTATATTTAAACAAGGATAATACAAAGGTTGAGTACATTATATTTAAACAATGATGATACAAAGGTTGAGTACATTCTATTTAAACAAGGATAATACAAAGGTTGAGTACATTATATTTAAACAAGGATAATACAAAGGTTGAGTACATTCTATTTAAACAAGGATAGTACAAAGGTTGAGTACATTATATTTAAACAATTTTGAAGCCTCATTACGTCATAATTGTTCATGTTGCCACTTCAGGTCATGTTCTATCAGACTACTTGCATCTTGAAGTCAGCCCTGTAGTGTAGTTTCTACAGCAAAAGGCTCCGTTTAAAACACACCCCGCCTCCCTGCAGATTTCTATCATCTATATAGCGTAAGAGGACGATGGTTTTCAAGCACCTGTTTGAAAAGTCTAATTACACAGAAATTCAGAGGCGCTGCAGCCGGCAACTTGACCAGTATGTCTTTATAGGAAACACCACGAATACACGTTTCATTCTTCAGATGTTTAAAGTACGTGATGGTTTAATGGGAAGCTTGACTGGAAGCCATATTTTGTGAACCCATACCCTGTCGGCTTCGTTTCTAGACGGAAATACTTACTGATTATACTGCTTAGGGCACGTGGACGGCTTTTGCCGCTGACCTTTATGCTCCTGAATTCTCGCCCGTTACAAGACGCCGCTCTTTGCTTACCATGGCTGGAGTACCACTTCTTGCAGGTCATTTTCTGAATCTTTCTGTCATCCCAAGGTTGATCCATACTCCTTCTTTTCCACACAAGGTCTATCTCCGTCTTAACAATTCTCAACAAACACATCTTTATTATATGAACGTATGGATGTTAAAATGTAGTTCTGATGCATTGAACTCCACCATGACTGCGTACTGGCGTTGGTTGTCACGAGATTTGGTTAATTGCATTTCCAAAATGGTTTTAATATAATTCATTCAACCTTCTCTATATATGTGTATATTTATAGAAAGATATATTCTAAAATCTACTTACATTGTAGATGGCATAAATAAATGGGTTGTAGCAGGAATTACTCATGGCTAGCCAATGACTGCAGAACCATATGACGTTGATGTATTTATAGCTGAAACAATCAAAATATTATACACTGATGATGAAAGCAAAGCTATAGAAAGCAGGGATATGAATAAAATAGAAGGATAAGTATACAAACACATCAATAAAAAAAATATTAATCGAAAAACACACACACACATATGTAATATATGTATATATATATAGTTTGTTAGTTTGGTTGTTATGAATTTTGCGCAAAGCTACATGAGAGCTATCTGCGCTAGCCGTCCACAATTTAGCAGTGAAAGACTAGAGGGAAGGCAGCTACTCTTTTTCAAACGAATAGTTGGATTGACCGTCACATTATAACGCCCCCATGGCTGAAAAGGCTAGCACGTTTGGTGGGACAGGGATTCAAACCCGCATATTGCGAGTCGAGTGCCCTAACTACCTGGCCATCCCGGGCCATATATTTATATATACACATTTATATGTATAGAGAGAATAATAGATAAATGTGGATTCCGAAAGAAAGAGACATATAAAGACGGACGGACAGTGAAACATATAAAGCTAAAGATTTAAATATACTTTTCATATTTAAAGCTATAATTAAAGGAATCAGTTTTGGCTTGAAACTTTTGTCGCATATCTTTCTTTACTAGACAAACTAATTATCTGTACAGTTGAAAAGTTGGTTTTGAAGTTTGAATGATGAAATCTGTCCCACTGATGAATTTAACAGTACAATTCACACAAAACAAAGGTATAATTTGAAAGTATTGTCTTCTACGATGAATATATACTGTTTTTGATATACGATTACGTTGCATGAAATTCGAAATTCTGAATGTCAGTTCTAAGCGGGTTTATGTGTATTGAACTTAAAAGAGAGGAAATAAGTTACAGAAAATATGTACTAACATAGTGCTTTCTATGTAGTGAATATGTATGGCATAAATAAAAATACCACATCCTTGCTTGTGGGATGGATAGTGGGTGGATGGGTGTAAAAATAGTATAAAACCCATTTTAAGTATTGACCACACATTATAAAACCTTCTTTAAGCATTGAATGTCGGATTACGTAACATATTAGAGACTCTTCTTGAAGTGTAGGATGCTGGATTAAGTGGCATATTAGAAACTTTTGTTTAAACGCTTGATGCTAAATTATGTGACCTATTATAAACTCTTCTTTAAACGTTGAATGCTGGATTATTAGAAAGATTATTAATCACTGAATGTTGGATTATGTAAAATATTAGAAACTCTTCTTTAAGACTGAATGTTTTTATTTTGATTGATAAAAGAATTATAGTTCAGTTTGAACTTATTGTATATAAAAGTGAATAATAATAATATACATACGTACTTGTAGGAAAACTGAACAGTGGGTAAATATATATATATAAATAGCTAGATAATATATATGTGTATACTATAAGTTTGGATCCTATAAAATCAATCGAACGAATAATTAAGGATATTTTTGTAGGTTAATGGTGTTACACAGGTTTTCTTATCTTTTATAATCGTATAATATAGTTATTTCATTACGTATTGGTGTACAAGTTGTGTGTTAATAACACTTTCATAAATGCTGCAATTTTCATGTTTTAATTTTGACAACGTCTTAAAAACAAGAGTAAAATACCAAGCACGTCCTCTTGACGTGTTGTAAAGGGTTGGATACGTTAGAGCATGCAACAAGTTGTACGTCAGTCGTGTGTGTAAACAAAATGTGAATCTTGTAACAGGTGTGAATCCATAGAACAGTGGCAAAAAATCGTTCAAGTGTTATAGACAACAATAAGCAACATAATCAAGAAGGAAACAAGGAAATCAAGTCTAGAAACAAGGCCAATAGGGGATTGGTTCACCAAGATAAAACTTACAGTCATACCTCCTTTCCATCCGTTGCATTCCTCGACCAGCTAGAAAATTAAACGGGTGTTCATGCTATTCAATTTTAAAATATAATGATCAAGTCACCAAATGCAGAACCTATGGATTTCTGTGCGATCAGATTGTTGAAACAGGAGCTGGGAAATTGTAGTCTTCGAACACTAACTGGATTATGAATAGAGAGCATGGAGGAGGGATGTGCTTCGGACGTGACAGCCTTACGGTAGAACCTTTTGAAATGAAAACTACGCTGCAGATTTTTTGTTAAGGTGCATAGTCGTCAATTAGAGCATGGCCGGACGTAGGGATATGTATTGGAACAAAGTGGTGAGGCTCTCAATTCGCTTTAATATAACATATTCAACCCGCCCTATAATAAAGAAGAGTTAACTGTCATTCTTTAAAAGTTATGTGTATCTTGTATGAGAAATGCTGTGATAATCTAATAAATGTACTCTTAACCTGCCTTTAAGTTAACATTTTAATATGCTATGCATTTTGTACATACACAGCAAAATATCAAACTCATCACCCCTCGATGTCGTATTCCAAAAGTGAATATATCTTCACGATAATCTACACTACGAACCTTAAGGATGAATAAAATGTGTTCCAAAGTCCTGTGTAATACTACTTAACTATTGTATAATCTTGTAACATTCCACATGAACAGGCAAGCGTAATCACCAAGTTTCGTGTCAACAGCAATTTTCTGAGAACGGGAAAAAGGCTAAATTAAATATAACTTTTTCCTTCTTTAGAGCAAACAAATAATGCAACACATATATAAGTAGTAAGACTTAAGTGTAGAGCATTTGCATCGCATTCTATTCGTTACATATATCAAAACTTTGTACTTGAATTTTCTTGCAGAAACCAAACAAAGTCACCATATTTGTTGCTTTGTTTTGTTTTGGAAGAGGGTCGTTTAACTATCTCTAGCGCTATATGTTTGTGCTTTGTTCTTGTTCACATGTTCCACTATGTGTTAAAGGTAAAATTTTGGTAAACTAGCCACCTATTATATATATTCAAATAAAGACTAAAACTTCTTCCTCTGCTAATGTGTTGGACTAAGGATCTGAAAGTCCAAGGATCGATATGCCACTGAACACGCTACATTTCTAACTGTGAGGGCGCTATAACTATGACAATTTGTTAGTTTCTTTTAGAGCAAAGGCATATCGAGCTATCTTTTGTGCCCACTGCGGGGAAGTGAACCCTGGATTTTAGCGCTGTAAATACGTAAACTTACGGCTGCCCCACCAGAGGATATCTAGTTTGTTTGTTTTTTAATTTTGCGCAAAGCTACACGAGGGCTATCTGCGCTAGCCGTCCCTAATTTAGCAGTGTAAAACTAGAGGGAAGGCAGCTAATCATCACCATCCACCACCAACTCTTGGGCTACTCTTTTACCAACGAATAGTGGGATTGACCGTCATATTATAATACCCCTACAGCTGAAAGGGCGAGCATGTTTGATGG